AATAGATAAAAGATTCAGTATTTCAGCATTTTAAACAGGCAGCATTTCAATCAACATTTGCAACTATTTACAAAGCTTTATTTTAAAAGTAGTGGGGAGTGGGGGATGTTAGGATCTCAGTATTTGTTGGTCTTCATCCTGTAAATCTGAAAGAGGTGAGATGGAAAAATGACAAAACGTCTCGCTGATTTTCTTCCACATTTGACTTTATTGTGTTTATTCAACATGGTTCGGTTTGTGTGGATGTTTCCCTGAATGTGTGGAGTTTAAGACTTGTTGCTGTGTGTTGGTGTGTGAACCTGCAGAAACACTCACTCCTCCCCTTCCCTCCAGACAAAACAAAGTGCAAAAAAAAAAAAACCTTCCGACACCTCAAGAGAGACTCCGCTCTGACATGCCAACCTGCCGTCCAACCTGCTGCGTGATTTGACAGAAAAAATTCAACACACGCCTGTTTCAACCAACTGATATAAGGAACGTGGAGTTCATATAAACGAAAACACAAGCAGCATTTAGGAGGTCTCGAACATCTTCTTCCTGTCAGCCTTATCCTCAATGTTCTTACGCCAGTCACCCACTGCTTCTGTAGGCTGCAGAGTGGAGGAAACACAATAATCAAAAGTGATGTCCTTATGTGAGAAGTCGTCCTAGCTGTCGACAAAATGATAAAAGTAAAATACCATTTTTATTCTATTGTTTTGACATTTTGGGACTTGAGGTAACCAGCGTGCATTTTTGAATGCCACTGACAGGTGTTGAGCCAACAGAATAAATAAGCAGAGTTATAAAGTTTAAAAAAATCTCCACCAGTTCTGAACCAGACAACATTAGATGACAACAGTATTCAACAGTCATCAACAGTATTTGCAGATAGAAAATCTAAAATCTGAATCGAAACATTTACCCTTTGTAACAGACCAGGAGCCTTTAGGCCTATACTTGTTTTAGTGTACAAAGAGGACAGCACAAGTACAGATCCAAAAATCTCACCTCCAAAAAGGACACATCGAGCCCCTTTTCAAAATATGTTGGTAAAAAACCCAGTACCCACCTCCTCTTTGACCTCCTTCTTGACCTGCTTCAGGTTGGCCCTCAGGTCCATGGTCACCTTGTGTTTGGAGCCCAGCAGAGCCTGCAGCATGGAGTCAGCAGACATGCGGACCTTCTTCAGGGCGGGTTTCTTCACACCTCTCAGGTCCACCACTTTGATCTTCAGGTCTTCAATCTGTGGGGGGGGGGGGGCTCTTTAGTTTGCTGTCGTTCAGAAAGCTGTTGGTGCTCTGATGCTGTCAGGGAACATTTACCTCCTTGTCGGCCTTCAGCACCTTGGCCTCGGCGTCATACCTCTCCTCATCGACCTTGTCAATGAGGGCTTGAAGTTTCTTGCATGTTTCCTGTCAACACACAAACTTCTCACGTTAACAGTGTTAATATTACGTTTTGGTGGAGGTGTATCATATCAAATATGCCCATTTTGCCGACCCTATGAGACTTTATACATCTCAAACCATCAGTGTTAAAATAATGACAGTGATGATGCAAGTAAATCTGAGTAAAATGTGAAGACATGACATTGACAGTTAGTCAATTCTTTAATGCTTCCAGGTAGAGAAATATCCATCACAGTCAGTCTAACCTGTCTTTGTTAATTCTTTATCGTTCAGGTTTTTTTCAGTTTGCATTTATCGTAAACACAGTTTCTGGAGACCTTTAGTATTTTTTTTTTTTTAGACAGTTGCAGTTAAATGCCAATAAGAAAAGAACTGTTCCATCTTCTTCATTAAAATTGCTAGGTTCACAGTTTCACAGCATTTGTGCTAAGCTTGGTTTAACACATGTTTATACCTCTCTCTGTACAGATTATACCTCTGGACTATAGCAGTATATGGAAATCAACTCAACGGTAAAAAAAGTTGCCTAAATTTGAACAACCCACAAAAATCAACATTTACTGATCAATTGAATAAATATGATGAAAAATGTGTCGTGGCATCAGTGTTATTTTAAGCAGTGAGCCTGAACTCACTGCTTTTTGGTTATAAGCAGGAACAACTGCATTAACCACAGCAAACTTGTCCAGCTCATTAAAAACTTTAGATGGTTTTCTTACTGAATGTTCAACAAACAAGTCCTCAGTCTTTGAATCTAAGCATCTTTCAGAGGCTTTTCCTCAACTCTGAATCCTCTTTTTCTTTCTTTCTTTTTTACTTCAGGGAACAGTGATACCATAAAAAACCTCTCACCATAAGAGCGTTCTGGTCTCCACTCATGTCTGGGGCGGTAGAGTGTTCAGCCATGTAGGCCTCCTTCTCAGACACTTTATCTTTTTTCTCCTGCTCGAGCCAGTTCAGAGCAATCTGGAGGATCAGGCTCTGCAGAACGAACAACAGAGAGATGTTCACTCACAACACTATTCTCTACAATTAGGTTTGAGGTGATTTAAAGTTCAACACAAACGTGTTTATCCAGGGCTGTAAAACATGCACCTGTGAGAGCTTTAATTTAAACAGAAATGAGTTGCTTTACCTTCAGGTGATGCCTGCGGCTGGATGTCATCTTTTTCCTGTTATAGAGGAAGTTCACAGGTCAGTTAATCTCATATCCACAGTCAAATTCAACATCCATGTTGAAGAACATTTAAACAGTTTTGCTTGTTGAAGTCTGGACGTTGAAGTGAAGTAGATCTGTTCCAATTTCACAATAATATTATAAGCCTAGCAATTAACCTAATTAAAGACCTGTTACCACTATTGCTTCCATAACCATATTATTATGTGCTTGTAAACAAGGTTATTTTTGCACAGAAATGATTCAGGTGAAATTGAAACCAGATGGATGTTATTGCTGATGATGTTACTTACTCAGACATCGTGACAGTTTTTGCGGTTCACAAGCTGCATGAGGAAACACATAAAAACACATTGAGCGGAGGAAACATTTTAATTGTTTTAATCTCTGCTGAACGCTGTAGTCGTTCAGATCAGGACAGCAGTGAGGTTCTCTGAGATCAGCATGTTCTGCCGCTCTGATGGAGATGCATGGACGAGAATATTTGTGCCGTAATGTGATCTGAGGCCACAGCTGAAGAGCAGCGAAGTCGACTGAACTAAACTTGGAAGCTCCAGATCCGATGTCATATGCCGATGGTTTATGACCAGATTGAGTGAAGGATTCATTTGAAAAATTCTTCAGTGAAATATCATTAGCTAAAGTTGATGATGAAGTGTAAATTACCTAAAATAGTAAAAGTCAAGGGATATGACATCTTATTGACTTTTTAAAGAAAAAAACAAAAGGAAAACAGTTTTTAAATTTGTCAGATTATTTTTTTTTTGTAGAAGATTGCTTAGTTTTACAGTGACCAGGCAGATCCAAATTTACCACCTTAAACAGCACTAGAAAACAAATCAGACCATCCTGAGAAAGTTAAAGAAATATTAAAATTATTTGATATGAGAATACCAAAAAATGATCGTATCCTACGGACAGCCAAATAAATTGACTAATATTCATATTAATTAAAAGGTTAATTAAGCACTGAGGTGTCATCAAGTTTGTCCTTAATGACACAAAGTAAAATACTACAGCCAATAAGCTTTTAACATGATCATTTTCATGTTCTGTGAAACAGAAAGTGGCACACACTCTAAGAAACTCAGTTGGAATATGTTTTGTCAAATTGTTTTTGCCTTCAGACTCTTAAAGCATCTAATTTTAACAACTGGTCAGACAACTTGATAATAATTGTGTTTTAGCCGCCTGAGTGCTACAGTTTGTCGCTCTACAAACACCTGCTAACGCTGAGCTGCAAACAGCTTCAGGATCATAAAACACAACACAGTGAGGTGAACAGGTCTCATAAATTGAGGTCTGTCAGGAAAAAGGTCAGATGTCACGACAAAGCGAGTAGAAAGTAGAAAGAGAGTTCAGGATGTCAGAATGGGTCAAATTCAGAGAAGCAAATGTCGATGACCCCTGTTTTAAATGTGTGGCTGCGCTGAATCTATTTTGTCTTCGTCAGGTAAAATAATTGATGCTGGTCTCAGAGAGGTTGGAAAAAATAGACAAAATAAAGTAGATTTGAAATAAAGTTCTCACCTATCAAGAGGAGGAAGAAGTGGACAAGACACACTTCGTGGAAGAAAAGGAGACACTGCCAAAGCCACAGACAGTGAAAAATGAAATAGGGTATATATGGTGGATTGCGATGCCTCAGCAAATTGCCCAGATCCTCTTTATGGAAATGGATTCCTGGCCAGACCAATGGGCCGACGAGCTCCTGAAATACACCCGGCCCAGCCCCGCTGTGCTAACCGCCCTCTCTGTGAAAAGGCTTCAAGTAAGTCTGAAGGCGTCAAGATCTTCTGGATATAAAGAAACTGAGGACACTCTCCTTAAACTGATGTTTTTTTTGAAGCAATATCTCAAACTTTGACCCAAACACAATGTTTCTAAGCTGCTCCATCACATCAAATGGAAATATTCACTTCATTTTATCTATTCTATATATTTATAGACTTCTGAATAAATAGAAAGCTCTTTGTTTTTAATGTGAGTTTGACCTATATGTTGTTTTCCATTAAACAGGTTCACACTAGTTTCCTCTCATCGTGTCCTTAGAGATACCATTTTAAGATTTGTTTGAATTTTGAATAGTTTTGGGAAAAGGAAAGTGAGATGCTAAGATGGATATCAATGTCATTTCTGTGTGTTAACTCTGGATAGAGCCAGGCTAGCTGTTTCCCTCTGCCTCCAGTCTTTAAGCTCAGCTAAGGTAACCACATCCTTTAGTCAAAGTTCAGACTTGAGAGTGAGATGTGTCTTCTTATCCTATACTCTCAGAGAGACAGTGCACAAACACATTTACCAGAATGTTCAACTTTCTTTAGGATGTTTTCACTAACTTATAACTCATTATAATGTGCTGTTTAAGTGTGATTTTTATGAAGTGTGATTTAGAAAAAAACATTGAAGAATGATTAAAATGCAAACAAACTAAGTCTTATTTCAAAACATTTATTTCTGATGACTCAGTGAAAACTTGTACATTTCGAACTGATGTGTTTCTGTCAGATCTTGTAACTGTTACTTTGGTTCAGTTCAGTCTCTCTCGGAGTGACTGTATCACAAAAAAAAAAAAAAACTCTTGTCCCTGTGTGTCCTGCTAGGACTCTGGCGCACATACATTCAGTCTCAGACCTCGGACAGTAATGTCTCCCCTGCCGTCGTCCTCTCCAGTCCAGGAGGGATTTAGGAAGTCTCGAACATCTTCTTCCTGTCGGCTTTATCCTCAATGTTTTTACGCCAGTCGACTGCCTCTGTTGACTGGAGAGATAACACCAAAGACACATGAACACAACAACAGAACCTTTCTCCTGTTGGTTTCTATTGGAAACACGTTGGGGGTTTTGTTGATACACCAGCAGAGTTTAATAGAATAAGAGTTTTAGGCTTCAAATATCATGTGGTTGTCAGGTTTTAGTTACATTTGTTATATTATTAATGATGATTCGGATATCACTGGTATATTGTGGTGCTTGTGGGAAATTCTGATATCTAAAGGATTCCAATACGCAGCTTGCTAATAGTAAATGCAGACTGTTCTTAGGAACGATGACAACAGATGGGATTATTGTGGTGCAAAGTGAAACAATGATATGGTCGTTTAAGTATTGTGACCTGAGAGTTTAGCAGAGCATGACGAGGAGAACAAATGTATGGAAGCTGTATTCTACAAGAAAAAAAATCTTACTTGCTTACTGTCTCATTGTTTTAACTTAGCGTGCTCTGATTTTACTTAGGTTGTACAGTTTTTTGTTTTCGATACATTTTCTGAATTGTTTCTTTTTCAAACTCAATGAACTTGTTTAAATATTTCATTCATTTCTACAGTTGATTCTCGTTTACATTTGATTTTATACTTGACTGATGTTATTTACTGTCTCTGTAACTTGGAGTTTTGGAAGGTTATTACCAAATGTGAATCTACCATCTTCAGTAGTTTTATTTTTGTCATTTCTATTATTTTTATCTTGTTTCTTAGAGGATCTTAGTCTTGTTAGTCTCAAATTTGAATATATGATGCCGATAAGAGCAAAGAAACCTTTGCTGACTGGAGCTTGAAGTGAATCAGATGATGTTAAAGCTGCATGATTTGGTCTGTACTGTCAAATTTAATCTCTCCTCACCTCCTCTTTGACCTCCTTCTTGACTTGCTTCAGGTTGGCCCTCAGGTCCATGGTCACCTTGTGTTTTCCTCCCAGCAGAGCCTGCAGCATGGCGTCAGCAGACATACGCACCTTCTTCAGGGCGGGTTTCTTCACTCCAGCCAGCTCCACCACCTTCAGCCTCAGCTCCTCGATCTGGAGGCAGATAAACATCATGATGTATGAGTTCATATGTGAAACCAACAGGTTCAAGATCAAGTACTCCCTCTGAGGATTAGAGGAAGTCTCAGAGGATGCTCAAAGACAATTTATTTCATCTACCGCTACAACATTTGCTGACAAAGAGCAACAGAGCTAAGCCCCCAAAATTACACTGTGAAATTAACACATAATTACCTCAGAAAACTGAGGTATTTACGTGTGACCCAAAGTCGATTTAGGGACCATAATCCAGTACTCACAACACACCTATGAACCAGGTCTTCTCGCATAAATACCTTGGTGTCCACATTGATAGCTCTCTTACGTGGCATGTTCAAACCTTTGCTCTCATTTACAACAGAGATTACATTTCTTGTGAAGGATCAGACTCTACAGTTCTATCAAACTATTCTAGAGAGTGTAATTCACTACGGTACACACTTATGGTATGATAATCTGTCAGCACAGTTAAGGTATAAGCTTGTACGCTTCATTCAAATGGTTAAATGTTGCCCTCAGGCCCGACGGTTCAGGATGCCACACTGCAGACTGAAAAGGTACAAGAAGTCCTTTATTCCATCCTCCATCGAGATACTAAATAACAAGTAGGAGTACTTTGTGATGTATCTATCTCTATCTATTATCTATTTATCAATTTAGACTTTAAAACTGACTACTGTCCTCATCATATGGTCTTATCACTAACGCCACTGCCTACCACTGGTTTACACCCAACGTGAAAGTAAGAAAATTTCTAAACACGTCAGAATGTAGGATGCATGTGTAGGGTGCTACGGGTACGATGTATGTACTTGTGTGTTTGGGTATTTGTAGTGTGATTAGTGTAGGATCTATGTATTTTTGTGTATGTGTTTTGTGATACGATATGATATGATGCAGTGGCCTGGAGCCCGGGACAAGTTTCCCTCTGGGACAATAAAGTATACCTTACACTCTACACCTGCCTCAGGAGGTGGGAGGTTTGTGTTCAGATTGGTGTTTAGGTTCTCCTCAGCTTTAAAATTATGATTTCAATAAAAACATTTAACCCTTGAGTTCTTCACTGAGCATCTGGAGTCACGTTACTAACTTTAAAGTTATTAGAATCATAATTGTTGCCAAGAAATAATGCTCATCCAGAAGTGCATAAAATGTCCACATGTACACCTTGTTATAGTATAGTTATAGCACCAGATGAGTGGACAGTCAATTAAACACATTGAGACATTGTGATCTGATCGTTCTGTCCAGCTCATGTTCATCCTCCCATTGATTATAAAAAGGAACTGAGAAGAATACAAAGAAGAAGAGAAGAAGAGAACAATAAGGCAGTCATCAGTGAAAGTTTGTGATTGTGTTTTCTTGTTGTTCAATTGGTCTTGTCTTCTCTCCATCCACATGTGTCTTGTATAACATGAGGACTGAGGTGAGGTGGGCCCTGTTTACTGGTTAATGGCTGCTGCTGCCCTGATGTGGAACAGTCACATGTGATATTATCTTCACCCACTAAATTGTTAGAAGTGGATTATTGACAGGAGGTTGAATGGGGTCACAATGTTCCCACGGATGGTTTGACTGATCAGATCACAATCCATCCACAGTGCATCTTGAATGTATTTCAATCTGTATCAATCTGATTTTTATCTGATCACACAAAATGTATTTTTACGCAGGTAAATGGGGCAATAGATTTTAACACAGTTGACAATGTCGGACAACTCAACGAGTCATTGTAACTTTGAGTACGTATCACTAAGAATCACCAGATATAGAGTTGTTCTCTGCCATTTGTTCATCTCATCTCACTCTAGAAATCTCATGATCTGTAAAATCAGAAAATTCTCTAAGCTAAGTAGGCTTAGCAGGACAAAAAATTAGGAAATGTCAAAGCATTTTTGGACAAATGCAATTTTAAGTCTCAACAACTGACCACACAATGATCAAAAGCCATTAACTTAATCTCATGTCTCTCACCTCCTTGTCGGCCTTCTGAACTTTGGCCTCGGCATCGTACCTCACGTCATCAATCTTGTCGATGGCCTGGTGGAGCTTTTTGCACAGTTCCTGTTGACAAATAAATACATGAAGCAAACTACAGCTGTTCTATGTCAGATACGTTATTCTTCCATCCCACATAATAATATTGTTGCTTTTACGCCACTATTTCAGCTGACAAATACACTTTCTTCTTTCTTTTTAGATTTTACACAGTAAGCATGTGTCAACTGCATTAAGCCGCTAATGTGAAGTATGAAAGATGACATTGTATATGGTAGTATTTCTACTTTAACTTAAGTAAGATATCTCTGTACTTTTCCCCACCATATATCCACACTAAGTTCTACAGTGCAGTGCTTATATTAGTTATTTTCTCTCATTACTTAAAGTTAAAAAAATTGTCACTTTTCACATTCAACATTTCTGTTGTTTGTTTAATTACTCTAATTACACAAAAAAGATACATAACATGTTAAACAGAGAGACACATGCAAGTTAAAGTCTAACCTGTTCAAGTTTGATGTAAATAATCATATACTATACTTTATATATATATATATATATATATATATAGGAAACACACAACTTTTTGATAACTCCACCACAAGAAGATTTCAGACCTTTTCTCTCTCAGTGCTGGAAAGAGCAACAGTTTGGGGAAATCTTCAGCTTTAAGCTTCAATCAGCTGTTAACCTACAGGAACTTCAGCAGTGTTGAGTTTTAATCATGATCTAAATTCAGTTTCAGAAGCTGCTTCACTATTTAAAGCAAAAAACTGAAGAACATTTTGTCTATTTAAAATAAAAAATCATCAAAATTGAAACTGAGTATTTGCATCAGTGACGAGGATCTTAATGCTGTCTCACCATGAGGGTTGCCTGGTCTTGGTTGAGGTCAGGGCTGGGACAGTTCTCTGCCATGTAGGCCTCCTTCATCGCCTCGATGTCTTTCTTCTCCTGCTCGATCCAGGTGGCCGCGATCTGCAGCATCAGACTCTGCAGGGATATGAAAGTATGACGTGTAAAATTTGAATTTAAATGTTTCACCTACACTCAAACACTGCTGATAAACTCCTGGTGAAAAAGAGGAGGTTTTATGCTCACCTTCAGGTGATGCCTGCGGCTGGACGTCATTTTCTTTCCCCTTTGAGGCAAATAAAAGAAAGTTACGATCAGGTCCATTATTTACCAAAAGGAATAGTTAGTTTGACAATTCTGTAAAGACATGTATTTGCTCTTTGGCAGAGGGTTGCATAGGAACTCTGATATAACATATTTGCACATCAAATATAAGCAAACAACAGACACTTAACTTAGCTTAGCATTAAGTCTGAAAATTAGTCAGCATGACAAAATTCTCCTGGAGTACCACCTCCTCTAAAGCTCAACATGTTACATATATATTAAAAACAGTTTTACACGGGGTCATGTGCCAAGAAACACACAATACATCATTGTTTTTAGTGTTTGGATCCAAAGGTGCTGGGAGGGGGATTTGTTGCTTTTGAAAGAAACTTGTGTTCCTCTTTGTTTTTATACTTCATGCTGAGGTAAGCTAACCACCAAAATCAGATTATAACCCAGTTAATATACATCTATGTATGAAATCTGTGTAATCATAACTAATACTTTGTTTATGGGGTTGTTCGTTTGTAAGCAACAAACATCTGGACAGATTGTCAAGACACTTGATGGAAGATGTGGTATGGGTCAGGGAGGAACCCGTTCAACTTTGTGTGCCTATCTAGATCTAACTAACTTGATTAACAAATGGGTCATAAATAAAATAACACCGGCAACAAAATAACTAAGTAATACAAATAATAAGTTACTGGTACTGTAATAAGTTATGAATTATTGTGGAACTGGAAAGATATGTGAATAGTCCTCAGAGGAATCACAGCTGAATACTATCCCCTACTGACAGAAACCAACATAACAGGATGTAAAGCTCCTGTAGTGCAGCAGACCCAAAATGAACCCTTCACCCTGCTGTGTGTTTGAGTTTGGTATTTATGGTCCAGCAACAGTTGGAAGCATCAAAGTGCAGCTGCGCAGTCCAACATGACACAGCATGACAGCACTGAAACATTAGTTCCCACTGATTAAATAATGACATAAATTACAGCAGGCATTTTTCACTTGTTTGAAGAAAGAACAACTTCAGAAAAACTTGATACAATTGAGAATTCTTATAGTTCGCAGAAGACATGAAGGATAAATCATGTCACACCAACACATAAAAACAAATATCAGCACTTAAAGTGACAACAATGAAGCTGATGAATAAAACTGCTTTATAATGCACTGATACATGGAGGGAAAACAAACCGCAACCATTTGAAAATACAGAATAATCAAATGTATTAATATGACATTAGACTGCAGTTACTGTGTGTCTCCTCACACATGCCAGCAACACTTACAGCTGCTGTCATCTGAAGCTAAAGGTCGACCTTTAAACTATACTGGAACATTTATATTCACTATGAGCTTTTCTTTCACAGATGCTTTCAGAGTTTAGGTTTCAATTCATTTCAATATTGTGTGTATAGCGCCAAATCATAGCATACAATATCTCATTTAGGTCAAAATAGAAAATGATAGAGAGACCTAATGGTTCCCACAATCTTTGCTGAGTTTATTTATTTATTCCTTATCCCAGTTTTTGTTTCATTGTGGGATGTACAAGGTAATGTTTCATAACGCTCCAAAACAAAGCTCCTAACATGACTAAGACTTAAAAAGAAGGCTGCATATGGATGCAGACTGATTACTTTTTCAATTTCAATTGAATTCAGTTATATTTGTCAAAAAATATTCAACTACTTTTTTGTTCAGACAGTTTTCTGAATTTGTTATTAATTCCGATGTTCAATCTTATTAAACGTCACTGTGAGATCTACACTGGTGTTTCAAAAATAACAGTGCCCCAAGATGGTGTAAAATACATGTCAAGACTTTTCAAAGCAGCAAAATCTTAGAGTCAGACCAAATCTTTATAGTTTTAGTGTAGTTCTCATTGGCAGGTTAACAAGACCAGTACATTGAAAAAGAAGAAGAAGAAGAAAACTGTACTCACTCAGACATGTTGGCTGCTTGTGATCTTCACACCCTGTTCAGAGACAGAAAACACTCAGTTAAACAGCAGACAGGTTCTATATAACAGTCTTGTTGCCCCCATGTTATCCATCAGTGACCCTTTGACCTCCAGCAGGTAACGTGATACACTTTACTATCATGGAAAACCGGCTGCTGGTGTCCACAAACTGGCTAAATTTGGATGGGCGGGGTCAGATGCCGTGGCCCTGGAGCTGAACAGTTGGCTCCTCTGAAGACATTCTGTTAGGAATTTAACTTCTTACAGCGTGCCAAAGAACTGAGCACGAAATGCCACCAACAGTGCTACCAAATGTAGCGCAAAGCACGTAGTGAGAGCTGTTAACACCAACTCCAACATCCTGCAGGCATGCTGGCACCAAGTGTAAGACACGAAAAAATGTTCTTAAAATTGAAATGCTGACGCTTTGAGGCTTGAAATTGATCAGTTTCCTGGGCTTTCCCCACAAATATTGATAACGTGAACTCATAAAAGTTCATAAAAAGATTCTGAATAATAATTATCAGAACTGATTTTCTTCCACCACTATGGAAAGGCAGCCATGATTTCAAAATTGCTCACAAACATAAATCGTCATTGTAAAAGGAGAATCACAAAAATGAATAGAAAAAAAATAACAGAGAATTCATTTGAATAATTTTTAACATATTTGGGTATTATTCCAAAACATGCACTTCTTAATTAAAATACTAAATCCAACACCATGCAAGATACACTAACACATCCAAAGGCCGTGATTTTGCTCTAAGACCCGGTCATAATGAAACAAGTTGAAACATTTCAACGCATTTCACACTTCAACAAACTTAAGCTAAATGTCCTTCAGTGTCTTTCACTGAAGGACATTTAGACTTTACAAGTATAGTAAATCTCAGCTACTGTTTCTACCTCCAAACCTCTGAATGCAGCCTCAGGGGTCAAAGGTCACACATGCAGCACCACCTTTAATAACCAGTCCAACACATTTCAAACCACCTCTGTAGAATAAACCAAACTCCCACCTGCTAACCAGAACCTCAGTGTGACTCACTGTATTGTTTCCTGCCGGGGTGAAAAGAAGCAAAGCGGCAGGAGAGACTCTCACCTATAACGTGACGAGGAAGGCGAAGAAGGAGAAGAAAGGGGGGGAGACGCTGCCAAGTCCCATACAGTAAAGAATAAACAGGGTATATAGGGTGCGAAGTGCCCACTCAGCAGAAAAGTCAGCCCTCTTTATGGTCGTGGAGAAACTTCAGACCAATGGGCCAACAGGCTCCAGAAATACCTCTGCAACTCTCAGAGGAACCTCGTAAATTTCTCCAGCAGGAAGTTGCATGGAGTGGATGCTGGACAGAAGCTATCAGGTTCCCTCCCACAGAGACAAGCGAGGGGGATGGAGCAATTGTTACACAACAGTCAGAGTGCAGAGGGTGAAATGATTAATGCTGCACAGATTCAGTTTCCTTTATAGCAGCAGGCCAGCAGTGAGTTGTGAAGCTGTCAGTCACACAGCCACATAGAGCTTCAGTAAGTTTCAGTGAACACGAGGCTTCAGAAGCTTGACACAAACAAAGCAGGTGGGGATCTTCCAAAGCTACAGTCTGAAAAGACGTGTGGTCTGATTGACTGAAGCCTTCACGTTCACATGAAGTGTAGCCTTTGAACACAATTCTGATCAGAAGGAGAAGTGTGCGTTTTCTCCCCCCCCGTCATTTTACGTGGAAGCATGTTAGGAAAATAAGATAATAATACAATAAGACAGGAGGAAGAATCAGAGCAAACCTTTCCAGTGAATAAAAATCATAAACAACAGCGAGTTTGTTGATCCAGTTCTTTCATTTTATTAATCTGAGTAGATGTTATCACTGTACATATTCAGCTAGAGATGAGGATGAGTGACTGTGAACAAACTAGCAGGATGTATAATGCGAATTTGTCTCCTAATCATAATGAAGCTATGGCCTCCACTATCCAATCAGCTTTGGATAGTGGAGGGCTGTCATTATGTGCCATTAATCAACAAATACAGTACAAGGACATCCACTCAAAATGTAAACCAATAGATTACCTCATCATTCTCTGGGGAAAAATGTACTTTTATAACATCAATGTGAAAAATGCAAGTCCACCATAACCTTTTCAAAACCAAATATGTCAGGTTGGATTTTGGGGGAATGCGGCTAAATGATTCGACTTTTAGACATTCTATTAATGTAGGTTCACTGAAAAGATGGAAGAAACTGATTTATAATGTTCTTTTATACAAAATGCTCAAAACACAGTACAGGTGTCTAATGTAAAAGTGAGTCAAGGCTTCAAGAGGATATACTCTTTAAAAAAGTGAGAAGAGGAGATAGTTACTCACCGTTTGTAGATCTTCATGTGATGAGGAGGTAGAGGAAAGAGTTGTGACCTAATGGAGATGTATGGCATTAAGCCACATTTCATGAGTGACACGAAGGAAGAGATGATGATGAGCCGGGCAGCAGAGAGGAGAGTGAGAGGAAGGCTCTCTGCTGACATCTGCTGGTTCAACATCAGCACAGCACTCAACTCCAGCGAGTAATATACTCTCCCGCACTGAATTCAGCCTACTAACCAAACAATATGGACTTCTGTCATAAGCTACAATTCGGTAGATGTTATCAAATGACCTACTTCTATCTAACCTGATGTCGTACCCAAGTCTACTGGATCAGTGTCAATGTGGCCTCTAAAAATCTTTGAAATCTCTGTGAGGGTCATAAGGGCAGACATCTCCAACATCTGTACTTAGATCAACATCTTTCAAACACTGTCTGTAAAAAACTGCAGAATCACAGCATCCAAAAAGACTGAAATTTAATTGCACAAGTTTTTCCAATTCCATGAAAAGGCTCAGTTGTAACAGTGGTAAGTGATGTGGCAGCCCAGAAGCAGTGAAAACAGAAAGTTGAATTTGAAAGTCTTTAAGAGGTCTCGAACATCTTCTTCCTGTCAGCTTTGTCCTCAACGTTTTTACGCCAATCGCCGACGGCCTCCACACCCTGACAGATGCAGAGATTTGATGAGTTGAGATGTTTGCCATCATACCAACGTGGAAAAAAATATGGAACGATGCCTCACCTCCTCTTTGACCTCCTTCTTGACTTGCTTCAGGTTGGCCCTCAGGTCCATGGTCACCTTGTGTTTTCCTCCCAGCAGAGCCTGCAGCATGGAGTCAGCAGACATACGCACCTTCTTCAGGGCGGGTTTCTTCACTCCAGCCAGCTCCACCACCTTCTGCCTCAGCTCCTCGATCTGGAAACACAAACAGAAACTTAAAGACCAAACGCAGCGGAGGGATACAGTCATACACCCCGATTATCACTGTGTTAACACAAAGGTGATGAGAGATCACCAATCGACATCAGGTGGACAGTTAAGTTCCATGTGTTGTTTCTGCTTCGAATCATATTTCTACACAGGACACGACAGCGACGCACCATCACAGAAAGAGATATTACAAGACAGGAAGGACTGGGCACTGGTTAGGAGCCTTTACTGATTAGTTTGAGATTACTTAACCTAAGCACACCTTAATCATTTTGTCAAAAAAAATATGTTTGATTTTGGAAGACACTGATGGTCGTTAGTAGGTAGCCAATAGTTCTGCTCTATTTCAACTATCTGATCCACTCCCCCTCTGGGCAGTCATCATCAGTCATCATTACAAATAACTCACACTGTGAGTATGGGAAAGTAAAGTCTTCAACATGCAAAAGAGACTTCAAATTAGTATTGATGTAAAAGTGTCAGAGAGACGTCTCTACCTCCTTGTCTGACTTCACAACTTTGGCCTCGGCGTCGTATCTGTCCTCATCGATCTTGTCAATGGCCTGGAACAGCTTTTTGCAGAATTCCTGTTGATATGAAAAGAGAAGTGTTTCTCTCACAGAATCAGCACTCCATAACTTTAGGTCCTCCTCTATTTAGGTCACAGAGTGAACTTTGACCCCTATGTATGTTATAGGGTTTTTTTACCACCAGAGATGCTTGGTCTCCACTGACGTCAGGGGTGGGGCAATTCTCTGCCATGTAAGCTTCTTTGGTGGCTGCGAGATCAGTAGCTTCCTGCTCCAGCCAGGTAGCAGCAATCTGCAGCATCAAACTCTGCAGGACAAGGACAAAGAGGCTCTGTAGTTTATCAGGGTTTTTTCAAATTAAAGCTGCTATAACTGATAATTATGATCACTAGGGGGCAGAAGAACACTACAACAAGCAGACAGACAGCTCTCACACATTATCGCATATTAAAGCTCTTATAGATGTGGCATATTTTTACATCCAGCACAATTAGCCTTATTTATTTTCCTGTGGACAGTAAAGACATTCTGTTCACTCTGTTTTACCTTAAGATGATGCCTGCGGCTTGATGTCATCTTCTTTCCCCTTTAAATAATGGAAACATCATATATGATAACAACATTAAAGGATTCCACAGAAAATCTCTGCAAGGTGTTAAAGGCTGATTGTTTCCTCCATCATTAGTCAATATCATTCGTCAATAAAATGTCAGAATAATAAAAATAAAAACAGTCAAATGAAAAATAAAAGTAAAAACTGCT